GTATTACGACTCAGATAGTTTTGTTTCTACAAACAATCCCTAAGTTTACGTGACACGTACGTCGTCCATATCTTCCGAAATCATTTTTCTTTCACGCAATAGTTTTCTACCACGTTACACTTACAGAATAGTAGGAAAAGGAAGCATACGTAGAAAATATAATTATGATGTTAATCAGTAGGTAACGTAAAAGAGACAGTTCAGCGAAATTTTTCTTATTATATTCGTAAAAACTGAATATCAATTGTATAGTAAGGATCGTCATCGAGCGACGATGAAACACGGGAAACGTTAAAAGGTTTGTCGTGTATCGTAAAATGTAAGAATGCGTAGAATGGTCGAAGATGCTTCGGGCTATGTATAGTTTTGAATTCAATGGGCTGCCGGGTGTGAAATTTGCTGAGCACATGCATATTATCGGCAGGATCTTGGCCTCGCATTTTAATTATATCGAGAATGTGTCGCATAGTACTTTCTCTCGTCGTTTTAACAATCGTTAACTTTATATATTAGACCTCCTATATAGATAGACCTTCTATGAATCACTTAGTTTTCATCGTCTAGCGATTTCAGAAATGAAATTTCACATCCTAAGAATCAACTGCAGAATCATCGTGAAATTCGGTCTTTGAATGGCTCGTTAAAGCTCGAAGCTGCAAATATAAAATAGAAATTTGATGGAAACGAAGAAATTTTAATCGACGAAGTTAGCGCGATTGAAAATTAAAATGTCACAAAAGGTAAAGTAAATTGGTATTTCAAACAGCAGTTTCTTCTTATAACCGGAGGATACCGTGCGATCGAATCGCCTACTTCTACGTGAAATTTCCGGAAATTTAATGATATTTCTTTTACCTTCTATCCCGAACGTAACAAACTGTAGAAACTTATTTGGATAATAATATATCTTACTTCGTAAGCGTTTTACCATCGAACAATGGAAATTAACTTTCGAAGAACTGCGAAAGGAAACGGCTAAATTCGAAACAGCAGCGATTAAACCGTGGGTTAGAACAATTTTCTTAGAATGAAGAGTTACGTAAAACATCGTGCACTGTGTTCGATACACCGATGAGGCACACAGTACGAGACACTCGATGCGTGTAAAAGCGTTTTCCGCAACTGTGATCCACATTATAGAATAAAGGTGGATGCAACGTCTAACGGAATGCCGTAGATACCACCCACGACCGAGATCACTAACATTTCACATATGGCCGTTATCCAAGGGTAATTTTCGCAACGTGGGAATCCGCGACCTTTTGGTTCTGCATTCGCCTCGATTGATCGCATCTGAATAGCGGGAAAAAGATATTTCGCAAAGGGGATTCCACGAGAAGAAAATCACGAGGATCAAGACGATTAAAGATCCGGTTGCTTAGACGAGTCTAAACAATTAAAATAATTTTAGGAGAACAAATTTAGAAATAACATGAAAATATTGAAAATGCAATGGAATACAGAGTGTTCAATGACGAATTTGTTTTAGAGATGAAGAAGTTCGCTATTCTATTCGATAAAAGCGTTTTTCAGATATACTGTATATACTTTCACTCGTAAATGAATCATTTTTCATTTTCACTTGTAAATCATTTTTCCGGAGATATTCACATCTTGTATCACGGACTACCCTTTAACTTGAAACAGATTGAACATTAACTTGAAACAAAAATTGTTGTTTGAGTTTATTCATATAGATGTAAATTGAAAATATGTACGTTAAATATCATAATATAATAGTCACCCTACTAACCTCACTAAAGAAATGAAATAGTCAAACTCGAAGATGCTATCCCTCTGAGGTTAGCTATCCACATGTTATTTTTTTTTTTTTTATTTATTTATTTAAATTTTACAATTTGTCCAGTAGGAGATTTGGTAAGATATTATAGCGGTATATTAATATAACATGTGGGTGGCTACCCCCAGCGGGGTACCATCATCGTGTTTGTTAGGTTATGTCCTTTGTGAGATCTGTTGGGTGTTTCCTTTTTAATCTTCTTTTTATGCTTGATGTGTCGACCGTTTTCGCTGCCAGCTGGTTCATGTTATTTAGCAATTAAGCTAGAAAAATTTACCGAATGTTCAGCTGGACAAATTGTAAAATGCAAATTAAATAATTAAAAAAAAATAATATTTTCCCTGTTGTCGCGTTAGAGAACCAGTCTTTCAGCGAATGAACATATTCGCGATATACCGTTCCCACTTGGCATTTTCTCGATCGAAAAGAAAACGCAATAGAACGTTTTATATAAGAAAAAATACGTCTTAATGTCACATTTTATTGCTATGCACTTTCATCGTTCCGCGTATCTACTCTGCACGTAACAATCGCTTTAAACATGATCGATTGGGATTTCACTGTAACTCCATTTAAATTATACAAGAAACGGCCACAATTTACGTAATGTTTTCCCCTTAAAGCGTGCAAAAGTAACGATTATCTTCTCACAGAAACGTGAGAATAAAAACGTAAACATTTACACTTATATCCGTAATTTTGTGACACAATCGTTTTCTATTCCAAATTACCAATAACGTTATTAACCCGTTCCTTGCCGTTTTATTTACTGTTTCCATATTTATCACAGTTTAGGTAATTTTCTACTTTCTCTTTCAATTTTAACGTTTTACTATTATCGTGTTCTCAAATATTCAATACTATTTTCTTTAGAGATCATATCTCTAACTCATTATTATTTTATCAATTTGTTCATCTCAAATTTTTAATCACAATCATACTATACGTATGTACTTTTTCTTTTCACGTTAAACATTTATTACTCTTATTTCTCGTTTGTTCGAGATTCTCTACTTTCGTCCTATGCTTTTATTGGGTTGGCAACTAAGTAATTGCGGATTTTGTCAATACCACCTAGTGACAAAATCTACAATCACTTAGTTGCCAACCCAATAGTTTTCTCAAGTTATTTGACACAAGTTAGTTGACAGGATCGCTTTTTGTATTTTGCCATTTCGATCGGACGCGAATACGTTTGGGGGAGAGGTGGTGTAGCAATCACGAGGCTGTGCACAGCACTTTCTATTTGGAACGTTTCAACGCGATACAATTTCACTTGTTCCGCGGTATTTCGCCCGTGACTTGGTCGACGATCTTAACGATCGCCACATCGTCGCGGTCATGTCGATCGAATCTCACCGAACAAAAAAAGAAGAAAAAAAACTCGACAGAAAATGGCAAGAAAAAAAGAAAGAAATCCTTTATGTAGGAAATATGCACGCCGTTCCGGGTTCACGGCTGTGGGACGACGCTGGTCACGCGATTCACGCGGTCGGATAATAATAATTAACCGTAAAAGAACGAACCTTCCTTGAAGGGCTGCAGGAAGTCGCGAGAAGAGTCGTTAACGAACCTACGTTTCTGATTACGCTTCTTACGCATACGCATTGTCCAAGCCGACCAGATAAGAAACACAAAGAAAGCGCAATAATAATTACGGTATTTAAAAATATCACGAATTGTATTGTACGTCTATACCGAATGTAGATATGGACCGATGTTTATTCCTGACGTAAGTATCATGCGTATAATCGATGACTCGTATTTTGATGAACATTTAATTATGATTACTAATCATCGTTGAGCGTAGCAAGCAAGAATGAAATATAATTTATTGTTATTTCGCTCGCTCATTGTATGTAATTGAAATTAGACGTTCTTGATATTGATTTATCGTTGAAAACAATTTTTGTTATCGTCGTTAGCGAATAATCATCGATGCACACGAGTGACATTTTGCTGAGCGATCCCGCTGCGATCGTATGTCCGTCTGTATTGTTCTTAATAGGAAAACAAAGAAATGCATACAGGGTCGCAGAGAGATTGCGCGGTGAAATGTCGCTCGTGTGCATTCAGAGTAATATCTTACATGAACACAACTGCGTTAACCCACTAATGAAATTAAATACGCAATTACATTTTAAAACATACATATGTATATAATAGTAATATTTATTGTAGTTGCAGTCCCCAGGGATTCATAGAATGGACTTGATTTGCAAAAGCTCTTGCACTTACTCATCCCTCTACATTTCGATCATACCGCAATCCATTTATATCCTATATGTATAGCAATAGTCATTTAATTAAACAATTTCCGCTATTTACGAAATAATATGAACAGTGCTTTATATTCTTCGGCGAGAAATAAGACACGTTTACGATTAAATAACAACAGCTTACCTTAACAACAATGAAAATTTTCTTTCATTAATTATACATGCTGCATTGTGATAATTAAAAAGAATGCGATCTTGTTAACGGCCGTAAGAGATAAATAAATCTGTGTACACACGTACTGGAATCGCGTCTTTTTAAAAATATTCTTTTGTATGAAACGGCTTCGCACGCCAAGTAATTCAGTTTGTTATAAGAGAAAGTGATCACGAGTTTTATACATTACGGTAATGCCTAGCCTCTAATACAGGACTCTGAACTTGACGTCTATTCTATTCTATTGTCATAAATTATTGTTGCTACTTACTTAGGAAAAGGGAAGAAAAGAATTTATAAAAAGAATTTAGAGCGTTTTGTGTTAACTTTCCGCCACGTCTTGCGTTCGCTTTCATATCGTAAATTTGCTGAATTGCAAAGGCAGCCATGAATATGGTAACCTGTTACCAAAACAATAGAAAAATATACTTTCTTTATATGCGTTATTTTATATATATATATGTCAGATAAATTCTTTTATTGTTGCCAGACTTCTTGAAACAGCATTTGGTTCCATGTTTACCGATTTAAAGGAAAACGAGGCAAAATTTTTCAATTATTTGTTCAATATGCGTACTTAAAATATGTAAATATGCAGAAAACGTTTGGACGTAACATTCTATCAAAGCAGAGATTGCAAATTAAGTATCAAAACAAAATAGATATATTGATTTATACAGTATTAGACCAGAAAATATATAATACAATATAATAGATAATATTTGAATCAATATTTCCATTAAATAAGGAAGGACAGACACAAATATCTCTATACCAGAAATATATTAGTAAATATTTAATGAACAAAATTGCATTACAAGAATGTGTAAATATACGTATGCAATTGCATAGTTACAATTTGTCCTTTTTGATATTACACATTAATAAGTTTATAGAAGCAGTGCTAAATATGAAATAAGCATAAAAAAAGTAAAGTAAAATAACTCTATCAATACTACCAATTTTACTAAACATTTCCGATAGATTGTACTCTTAAAATAGCTTGGAACTTCCTCCACGAAGTCTCAATACTAAATGGAGTGTGGACTCTTTCTGGATGTTATAATCTGAAAGAGTTCTTCCATCTTCTAGCTGTTTGCCAGCAAAGATCAAACGCTGCTGGTCTGGAGGAATACCCTCTTTGTCCTGAATTTTAGCCTTAACATTCTCTATTGTGTCAGATGCTTCAACTTCCAAGGTGATGGTTTTTCCAGTAAGTGTTTTTACAAAGATCTGCATTCCTCCGCGGAGTCTCAACACTAAATGGCTTCCTCCACGAAGTCTCAATACTAAATGGAGTGTGGACTCTTTCTGGATGTTATAATCTGAAAGAGTTCTTCCATCTTCTAGTTGTTTGCCAGCAAAGATCAAACGCTGCTGGTCTGGAGGAATACCCTCTTTGTCTTGGATCTTAGCCTTCACATTCTCTATTGTGTCAGAAGCTTCTACTTCCAAGGTAATGGTTTTACCAGTAAGTGTTTTGACAAAGATCTGCATTCCTCCGCGAAGTCTCAATACTAAATGGAGCGTGGACTCTTTCTGGATGTTATAATCTGAAAGAGTTCTTCCATCTTCTAGTTGTTTGCCAGCAAAGATCAAACGCTGCTGGTCTGGAGGAATACCCTCTTTGTCTTGGATCTTAGCCTTCACATTCTCTATTGTGTCAGAAGCTTCTACTTCCAAGGTAATGGTTTTACCAGTAAGTGTTTTGACAAAGATCTGCATTCCTCCGCGAAGTCTCAATACTAAATGGAGCGTGGACTCTTTCTGAATGTTATAATCTGAAAGAGTTCTTCCATCTTCTAGTTGTTTGCCAGCAAAGATCAAACGCTGCTGGTCTGGAGGAATACCCTCTTTGTCTTGGATCTTAGCCTTCACATTCTCTATTGTGTCAGAAGCTTCTACTTCCAAGGTAATGGTTTTACCAGTAAGTGTTTTGACAAAGATCTGCATTCCTCCGCGAAGTCTCAATACTAAATGGAGCGTGGACTCTTTCTGAATGTTATAATCTGAAAGAGTTCTTCCATCTTCTAGTTGTTTGCCAGCAAAGATCAAACGCTGCTGGTCTGGAGGAATACCCTCTTTGTCCTGAATTTTAGCCTTAACATTCTCTATTGTGTCAGATGCTTCAACTTCCAAGGTAATGGTTTTTCCAGTAAGTGTTTTTACAAAGATCTGCATTCCTCCGCGAAGTCTCAATACTAAATGGAGCGTGGACTCTTTCTGAATGTTATAATCTGAAAGAGTTCTTCCATCTTCTAGCTGTTTGCCAGCAAAGATCAAACGCTGCTGGTCTGGAGGAATACCTTCTTTGTCTTGGATCTTAGCTTTCACATTCTCTATTGTGTCAGAAGCTTCAACTTCAAGAGTAATAGTTTTCCCTGTTAAGGTCTTAACGAAGATCTGCATGTTGGTAGATCTGGGGAACTGTACAAAAAGACAAAAGCAGTGTATTAATATACAATATTACAAAAAAATGTGCTGTCCTAATCCTAAATCCTAAAATAAACATTTTGTAAGCATAACATTTTGTATATCTTTTTAATTTATAAAAACATTAATCAAATTTTGTTAAACAAAATGATGGCATCACAGAATATCGATTATTTGAAAACTCATCTAATATTTTTTTACATAGATATGGAAGAAACAGCTGTTATATTTATACTTTTTGAAGTAACTTACAGAATAGGGTAGATATTTGCAACACAAGTCGATTTAAGTTTCTTTGATAAACAACTATAGAAAAACATTCGAAGGGTGATTCACACTAAATAATGTTAAATAATGTACAACTTGTACATATATACATATTTGTCAAATTATAGATTCTAAATTCCCTAGATTGAAACATTGTAGTTAGGTATTGCAGACGCATTTGGTGGGAAATAAAGATTTTGATGTGGGCTTGCGTGTATCAGGGCCGGCGCAAGACAGGTTCAGCGCTTTCGCCGGAAGCCGGGCTCGCGTTTCGAAAGGCCCCGCGGTTTACGAAAAATACCCAATTAAAAAACACCTATTTTGATTAACTTTTTACAGAATGATGATACCATTAACAGATGCAAAATATTTTCTAGTAGCTATGATTCAGTTTAAAGGAGTGACAAAAATTATCAAAGTTCAGTGTAACTCCACAAAGTCCTCATATCCTGAAAACTACTATAGATAAAAATCCAGGCGCTTTCAGAGAAATGTACTTTTAGAGAAATTAAACTACATCAATAGCTTTTGCAAAAGTCATACATGATTGCAGATTTTGTACTTTCATTGAATATTTTGCCCCTCGAAAGCGAATTATGGATGTGAAAAAATATTACTTGGATTTGTTTAAAAAACTGCTTATAAAAATATATAATACGTAACAGCATTTGTAAATAAATAATTCCTCGTTATAAAATTTAAATGTAGGATTTGAATGTGTATTCAAGCCCACGAAATTTTTGAAGTTGGCCCCAGAAAAAGTCACGCCGGCCCTGGTATGCATCATAGAATTCTAATAAGAGACAGTGAAAATAGAAGAGAGAGAGAGAGAGAGAGAGAGAAGGGGAACAATATTCCATGTATCTCTTACCGTACCGCGTACCGCGGCTACGTTCGGCGACTGATGGTCTCCTTGAGCTTATTAAGTTTATTATCACAAATCGCAAACAAGTACAATTGGGCAGGATGACGGCAAATTGTTTAATTACGACTGTAAACTTTAATTGCAATTTTACGGATTTTCCCGAAGTTCCAGAGGGACGGCTCCGGTGTCCTTTCATCTCCGACACGGCCATCCTGACTATCACACGTCCCCGTGTGTAACTAAAGTATTGAGTTCATCCAATATTAGATTCGGTACAAATAACGTTATTTACAACTTAACTAAATCAAGGGCCCGGTTTAACAGCAAATTTTGTTCGGGGTTTGGTAACAAGAGGAATAAGAGAGACAAATTAATGGCGTCATGATTGGTATTCAAATGCCAGTTGTATCCTGCAGGTTGTTAGTCTGGTCGCAATGACATGATGGACCATTTTTCATTTCGCACCCACGTGAGTCTCGTTTTCTGGATCGTACGACCGCCCGATGGTACTTTTAACCTGTTGCTCGGCCTTCCTGACCTTTCTTATGTTATTGCCCCGAGCTCGTGTGTAGTCCCTCACAAATGGCCACACGGCCACCAGGAGCTTTCCTGTGTTATTCTGCTAGGGGGGGGGGGGGGGCGTGTCGTGCTTCTGATCCTCCGAGATCGGGGTACTCATATCGCCATGCTCACTGTTCTAGCCATCGGTACAGACGTCCAATTCCGCTGGGATACAGCTATTTGACATTTTTCGCAACCTGTCATGACTATATTTAGAAGATCGTTTACCACCTATCGTTTTCAACCCGTACCTATCCCCTTCCAAGATTTCTGTTATTACAAAAGGGCCCTTGAATTTTGGATTTAATTTAGTTTGATTTTATTTCCTCGTCTCCGCGTAATGCAAAATCACATTAAACATTAAAATCTTGACTATGGTGATGGGAGAATTTTCCCAGCATTCTCGACGGAAAGTCCCGCCGTCCTTCCATCTCCGACATATATATATATATAATATAAATATATATATTTATATATATATACAAATATATATATAAATATATTTATATAATATATATATTATATAAATATATTTATATATTATATAATTATATATATATTATATAAATATATATTATATATTATATATATATATAATATGATATAATATGTATAATGTAATATAACATAATGCTACAGCGTTTTACTATTCGCATCGCGAGAGAACTTTATCTCAAAATAAATTTATAAAATGTTACAAACGGTTGAATTTTCTTGCAGAAACCCTGTGTGAGTTGTTTCACATATTGAAGAACTGCGTACTTACTTGTAAAAATAATTTCATTATAATCCGCGATGATTCATACCGGGGCAGGGTACACGCCACAAGGTGTAGGATGCCATAAAGTAACGGTTACCTAGGACTTTAGACTATACTGTTTACGACAGCAATTATTCTTCTACCAAATATTGTACCCATACCCATATATTATACCCAGGAAGTAGATGTCGGATTAGGACTGTGGGCACTTGAACCGAAATAATGGACGGATTAGGAGTTTCCGAATATTGCAAATCTGAAGCAGAACGTTATAGAAATTTCGGGAAGAATTGTAGGAAGACGATGTCGAACTAGAGATGTTACGAAAACTCGATTAGAACATCTTAGCAAGCATCTATTGTCATTTTTTCTTTTATTATATCTGTTAATAATATATTGTAATTTTTTATCGTTCTCTTTGACTCTCTAGACTACGCAGCAGTTTTTACTGATATTTTAAACAATGTGTTAATATTAACAAGTAAAAAGGGATGAAATAAGAATTCCTTCAAAAGCGGCATAATTTTCGGAGGTGCGTAAAAATGAGATATATTTTCACGCTGTACCTAGCGAGCGTCCTTTCTTTTACACAGTAAGGGACGGAGCATCGGTGAAATTTCATTGGTCGACAACATGCCCACTCTGCATAGTGCATGCCTTATAGTGCAATGAAGGAGTATATTGCTGCCGGGTACTGTAGGTAGGGATAAGATTTATAAAAAACAAGTAGTAGCTTCCCGGTACATACCAGCAGCAAGATTCAGTATTAGACTGACGGTCGAAGAGTTTGCGTGGCTCGTTCGTACGATTGCGCAGTTTTAGTAAATCTAAAAATATAAAATATACAAGAATAAGATATTAAATATTTGTCAAGATTCCAATTGAAGCGTTGGGGTGCTGTTGAAGCGGAACGTCAACATCTGATATTCGTAAGTTTTGTCTGTAATATATTTCTGTCTGATCAATTGTACACGTACAATATTTCTTAAGTCATTTACAATTAGTAGATATTTCAATTTCTTTTTCTTTTAAATGGGTTCGAAGGTGCATTAGATTACAATTTGGATAAAATGATTCCTGCAAATCACTTCCAACACTTAATGGGACATGATTCAGAATCTTCAGAAAATGAGGATTTACATTCATCGATGGATTCACATTCATCGATGGATTCATATTCATCGATGGATTCACATTCATCGATGGATTCACATTCATCGATGGATTCACATTCATCGATGGATTCACATTCATCGATGGATTCACATTCATCGATGGCGATGGATTCACATTCTCATCGATGGATTCACATTCATCGATGGATTCATATTCATCGATGGATTCACATTCATCGATGGATTCATATTCATCGATGGATTCACATTCATCGATGGATTTACATTCATCGATGGATTCAACTTCATCGATTGATTCAACTTCATCGAATGATACAGTATTGTCGGATGGGTTTGCCGTACCTTTCATATCTTCAGCAAGTGTGATTGATTCAACATCACCGATACAGTCGACGGCATCAATGTCGCCGATTCCATCCACTTCACATGGCATCGAAGAAAATAACGATGATTATCGTTTTGAAGCAAGTAGACGTTGGAGTTTTCGAAGTTGGCCTAAATCTTTCATTGACCCTGTCAGTCTTGCAGCTGCAGGATTCTATTATACGGGTGAAATAGATAGAGTGAGATGCTTTGAATGTGAATTGGTGGTAAATCATTGGACAGACGGTGATAATCCAATGCAGATTCATGAGATGCGTTCTCCAGAGTGCAGATTTATCCGCAATGAACATTGTGATAATGTACCAGTTGGAGTAGATCCTGATAAAGTTCTACGGACTGAACGAAGAAATAGAAATATACCTTGTCGTTATGGTTTACAATATCATGAGTCATTTGATTTTAATGACCATGGATTTTTACGACATTTAAGGTACCCAACGGCATATGAACTTAGCCGTTTGGGACTACAAGATGTTAGGAAAGCTAAAAAATTGAAATATGCTACTTACGAATCCAGACTAAATTCATTCGAATCATGGCCTACACATATGAAACAGACAAGTGAGGAATTAGCCGATGCAGGCTTCTACTACACCGGAATACACGATTTCACCACCTGTTTCCATTGTGGAAATACTAAATCTGGTTGGAGAGATGAAGTTCCATGGGAAGAGCATGCAATTTTGTCTCCCAGATGTTGTTATTTATTAACAGTACGGGGCTGGGAATATGTTAATAAAGTAGCAGGCAAGAAGCTATATGAAACTTATGCAGAAGTAAGTACAAAAAATTAAACCCTGAACCATATGTATAATTAATAATTCAGATATATACTTATTGTTACGTCGCGTAACCCTCTGCCTAGCCCAGGCCACACACCGCGGGCAAGATGGCAATCAGATATCTTTGGATACTCACTGCGTACCCTCAATAGTCTCAAGTACCTTTCATAAATCTCAGGAATTTCCTAGTCGAGGTCCATCTCTGCTTCCGAAGCATTTCTAAAGCCCATTGTCTACCACGGCTTGACAAGGGAAAATTAGTTTTTCTCACGCATGATGCAACTTTCCTCCCACGAACCACTTTCTCTCGAGGGCGGTTAAGATCCTTCGTTTAATCAATTAACAACGAAGACTATTTCCCTCGCTCTCTTAACTAAAATCGTCACCAACAAATCCGATGGTCCCGTGCGCTAGACACACCCATCCTTAGCTTTTCTTCGCCACAGCATCGTCTCCGAACATCTCTGATTTTACATCCTTCGAACGGTCAACATCCTTTAACCGGGTATACACACCCGTAGATCAGTCACTCATTCATCTCGTACATACGCACCAGCGTAACTGTCTTCGTTATAAGTTGTTGGAATAAACGGTGAAATATAACTTACTATACCGTGTCATATTGATTTAACCACCTCTGTTATCTTAACCGAAACAGGGGAACGATTACTTCGCGGCGTCGATTAACCGAATCGTAGCGAGAATTTACGCCTCTCGCTGACGCGTTTTCCTCGCGACCGCGTCTCCCCGCGAACGGTTGTAACACTTATGTACATTATAATTATTTCAGGAACCGATAGAAATTGCAGATGAGAATCCGGAGAGATCCAATAGTGAAAATGATAGTAATGAAATGACTCTCCGAGAGAAACTTGGTAAGTAATTAAAATAAAAACATAGATTGATCACAAATTCGTCAATTTGTATGAAATCCGTATACATATAATAAATTTTATTATGTATTATATTTAAATATACTGTTTACTATTTTAGCTTCCCTGGAAGAAGAAAATCAGGCAATGAAAGATGCTCGTACGTGTAAAGTTTGCAAGGAACAAGAATCGACGATTATTTTTTTACCTTGTGGGCATTTAGCAACTTGCCAGTACTGTTCACCTGCTTTCAAAAAATGCATAATTTGCGGAAAAAATATTAAAGCCATTAGACGTATATTTTTGGCATAATGCATGCACATGTGTAAATTAGCTTATTCATATCTCTTGAATAAATTATCTTTATAATTTTTTAAAAATGACATACACACATTAACATGTTTGGTATCACGTATCGTTAAATTATGTGTATATATCAGGTAATGATAAAATATTTTATTTTTAGTACTATTTCTGCAGTAATTAGTAAACAGAAACATAATATTAAACTAATCAAATACATTTTTTCTTATATTTTTAGCTTTTTTTGTATTTTAAGTGTTACTTAGGTAAACATTAATTTGTATTATGTATCTTATTTTATCTGAATATAGGTAAGTTTTTCTGCATCTAACTAATTGTTCTTTGTTTTATTCTCCTTATTGTTAGTAAAAAATATATATATATTTCAAATCATAAAAATCATAGCTTACTTTTTCTTTTATTTATACTTTCTTTGTTTATGCTTTGCCTTCAATCTTCTCTATTTAAAAGTAGCTATTGCAGGAAAAGGATCAAAGACAAAAGCATCTAACACTGAAGGAGAAACTATCAAAGGCTAAATCTGATAAAGATAGCAGAACACTGAAGGAGAAACTATCAAAGGCTAAATCTGATGAAGATAGCAGCTCATCTGCACTGGTATACACGCACTTATGTTCCTAAATTCTGTATGATTAAGTTAAAATTACATATAATTATTAAATAAGATCAAAACAATATTGTGCAGACAATGGTAAAAATGAATCAGTTGGATCAAACGTAGAATAGCGAATTAAGTACGTGGGAGAAAACATTTATATCGTTTTTCGGAAAAAAAATGCGGATCGAATGAAAAGCGAGATTTTCGAACTGTAGAAATGAAAAAGAATC